TATTATTTGTTTTTATAATATTAAGATAAATAAAATTTCAACTTTATTTTCTTATTCATCCTCTTACAATTTTTATTACATTATTTATTATTAATATAAATAAACTTGTAATTTTCTTAATTGTTATTTTTTTTATTTACTACTAAAAAATAATAAGATACTTGACAATTTTTAATTAACATTTTTATAACTTCTAATCTTTTTTTAATATTTAATTAAAGAGTATAAGCTGCATAAGAAATTCTTTTACCAATTCTCATATTATTATATGTTTTCTTTATAAAGCATTATTAGTTATTATAGTACTTATTTTTAAATTAATTTTTTACTTAATAAATGCTTTTAAATTTTAATTGTATTATATAAATAAAATAATTCTAATATATTGAAAAACATTTCATGTAATTTAAATTTAGAAGTTATTTAATATACTGTTATACTTAAATAAGATAAATAAGCTGATAAATTCTAAATATTAATTATTAAAGAAATATATTATATTTCTATGAATTGATTTTTAAATGTATCTTTTTTTGTTTTATATATTATTGAAATTGATTTTAAGAGTCTTGATATAAGGAATTCTATAATGTTAATCAAAGCTATTTATCATATTAATAAAATCTAAATATTTAAAATCAAATAAAATATAAAGATTATATAATTTATATTATAATAATTATAATATTAAATATAAATAAATATATATATTTTGTAATAGAAAAGAAAAAAATTTTTTTTTAAATTAATATAAATTTATTTTACTAAAAATAAAAATCATATTTAGTCAGAAAATTTATTCATTTATTTTTGTAATTTTTTTTTTTTTTTTATATAAGAAATTTTTGATAAAATTTCAATTTTTATTAAATTGTAATTGTTGAATTTTTATAATAAAATCTTTATTTTTAGTCTACAAATTCTTAGAATCTGATTTTCTAGCAAGGTTCTTATATAACTAATTTTTTTTAAAAAAAAATTTATTATATTCATATATATTTTGTAATATATAAAATGATTAATCTTTAATTTTTATTAATTAGATTGCTTTTATAATTGATATTTTAATTATTTTTTTTATTTTAATCTTAATAAAATTAATATAATAAATGATTCTTTTCTGATAAGTAAATAGATAATTTGTTATTTTAAATGTTTAATTTAACAAACAAATTCTAAATTTTACTTTTATTTTTATAAATTAATAATTTGTTAAAATTAATTAATTAATAATATTGTTATTTTGTTACTAATTTTATTTATTTTATTTTTTAATTTATTTATATTTATTTAAATAAATTAATAAAAAATTTATTATAAACCATATCGTCAAAAAAATCAAATAGATATTCGTGTCAATCAGATTATATCTACTAAATTTATAAACCATATCGTCAAAAAAATCAAATAGATATTCGTGTCAATCAGATTATATCTACTAAATTTGTTACTATATTTATTTTATTTTTAATTTATTTAAATAAATTAATAAAAATTTATTATAAACCATATCGTCAAAAAAATCAAAATAGATATTCGTAGGATGCTGACATATTGGGTAATTATATCCCCTATAATATATTACGCGATCAAATATCTGGGGATTAGATCTTACTAAATCCTTTAGTCCTTTGACAATGATTTTATTATTGATTTTTATATTCAAATTTTTTAAAAGAATGACTTATAATTAACATAAATCTATAATTAAATCTTTGGTTAAATAAAATAAATAAATAAGTTGTTCTATTGATCGGATGATCATAGATGTTTCTTATCTCTCACCTTTACTTATCCCCTTTTTAAAAATTATATTTACAAAGGAAAGGAAATCATAAAGCGAAAGGGGGATATGTTGACCATATTATTAACACAGAAAGTAATAAGAAAGTATAAAGTAGCAGAAAAGCAAAGAATCCGAGAGATATTAGAATTAAAGAGGAGAATTTTTGTGCGGAATAAAGGTGTTCGAAAGGAAAGTAATCCGTTTTAAATAGGTCATCGCCTGTATTATTTAATTAAAGATTTTATAATAATATGATTATGGTCAGAAATTATATATTATTTACAAATTAAGTTATGACGAGTTTATTTAACAATTGGTTTTGCGATCTGCTTCTTATATTCAAAAAAGTCTTTCCAGAACTCATCGATTATAAAATAAGAGAATAAAATAAAACAAAAAAAATTTTCTAGAATCCAATTTTTAAAAAAAAAAAAGAGAAAATAAAATAAAAATAAAAATTCGAAAAATTAAGCTCAATCAGCAAATAAAATAAAGTTTTTTTTTTTTTTAATGCATTCACTAGTCCTTTTTTTTTCTTTTTTTTTGTTATCACCAAACTGTCCATGCACAAAAATAGATTCTAAATTAATCTTTTGATTCTAACAAAAAAAAAAAAATTCAACGAGTATCCCCCCTAAATAAATAATTCCAAGTGTACACGCCCATATATATATAATAACTGTTATAATATTTCATGCCTTTTGCTTGGCTCACCTTCTTCTTCTTGCGGTGGATTAGTTACCACAACTTGCGTCATCTCACTCGTCTCACTGCTAGAACTGGTGTTGGAATTATTACGTCGTTGTCTCGCACGTTCTCTAGTTATATCGCGAATCTCCTCGCCTTCACATCTAAATCGAATATCTAACCCATCCATCCACCGTACTGCACCTACTAGACTTGTATTAAACATATTAGGCATATATGCTATCCTTTGATAAAGTTCTGCATCTCCTAATCGATCTTCTGCTTTCCTTATATCAAGGAAATGTTTTTCTATACAAAGGTCTACTATAAAGAAATATATTGAATGTACAGCGTATGTAATGAATACTGCCAACAAGACATCAACAGTGTAATGGATTCGAGTTGCAACGAGAAAACTTAATGCTATAAGTCCATGGAGATATGAGTAATATTTAATAACTTTATATCTACAATATACGCGGAAGAGGATTACACTAAACGGAGAAAAAAAAATTATTACCTTTAAAATGCATTGATGTGAATTTAAATGATGGATATTAAAATATTAAATAATGAATTACCTTGTGGTGATGAAGATGCTATGGCCTGAAAAAATATTATCTGTACATGCTTTAACTGTGCCTGTTATTAGATGCACGCCGGTTATGAGCATATTCCAAAAGTTGCCGGGCTCAAGAGGCTTACAATCCTTTGGACTTGGTAAAGTGGTCACACTAAGAGTAATCATTCTAAATCCCAAAAGGAAAGTCAACATCCAAAATATACGGCGAACTATTATAAGTCTCGCTATATGAGATTCGGCGAGGAAAAGATTTATGCCTAAAGAACCAACAAGCAATGTAAGCATGAACAAGTCTGCTAAGAATAATTGTTCTGTATATGGAATAACTTTAAACCCAAGATCTACCAAAGCCATCATGTCATCACCGGAAGTTTTCCACCGATAATCTGACGATTGTATAGCAAAAGTACATGAAAATCCGACTATAACGAATGCTAACATGGAATAAAGGGTACGTGTTATCTCTGCAACTAAGAGAGGTGAAAGATGGAGATGTTTGGCAATTTTTCGTTGTATAGAGGTAGTATTAATCGGAGAACTTTCCGTCGTGCGTTTTGTATTTCGTGGTTCCAAATTAGCAGTAGCAGGAACTGCCTCTGCTGTTGCAGTATCCATTGTTGCATCTTCTGACATTGTCCTTTTATTATCAGTTATAATCCAAAAATAAATATGATCTAATTTAATTAAGAAAGATGTGCAGTATATAAATTATAGACGGGACGAGATTTATTCTAAATGGAAGTTGGTAAATAGGCAAGATTTTGTTTTAGGTAAAAGAGGAGTAAGTGGTATTGCTGAGAAGGGAATTAAAGCGCACCGCGCGAAAGAACGGTGAAAATAAGGTTTTAAAGAGAGACCGCGAGGGTAGGAAAGATGGTGAAATTGGAGAGATCTTGGAATTGCTGTTCAACCAGTGAAACCGATGCAAAAGCGCAAAGAAACGGATTTAATAAAACAATATTACACTGATTATTTATATAATCCTAAAAATAGCTTATGGAACACAGCATAAAAGTTAATCCGAATGAAATTGGGACGATAAGAAAAATTGTTATACGATAATAATTAATTACAGTTTTTAAATAGCACAAAACCGACGTTACAACTCCCTAGACAACTCCGTCTTTCGAATTTGTTTATTTTACATATATTTTATAATTTTTATTTTATTTTTTTTTGAGAGGTTTTAAATGTAAAAGATTTTCCAAAAACTAAACCAAAAAGGATTTTTTTTAAAAATCTTGGCAAAAGAACAATGATATTGCCAAGGTTTCTTTTTAAAATGAAATTTTCTTTTTTTTTTAAAAAAAAAAAAAATGGATAGAAAAAAAGAAAGGAATTCGAAAAAAAAGACCTTAGGCGGGACATTTTTATTAACATTTTGTATATCCGCAGTTACAATGAGACAGGTCGGACTTCCCAAATTCGGGTAATATCTTGAAATAGAACTTGAATATCTTTTACATCATCATTCATTTTAAACATATTTACATCAACTTGAATATAATAATCGAAAAGAAACAATGATCGAATTATTTCCTTCCAATCCAGGAAATCATGTGGAAACGTAAATAATTTATCAAACAAATAACATTACCTAAGGTAGAGCGGTAGAGCGGCTTAATTTAATTGATGATATTCATAATTTACCCCTATAAATTCATAATATTTTATGGCGATAGATACGCTCTACAATCAATTTCAGATCAGTATCAATGGTTCGTCTTGACATGAAATGGTAAATTTTCTCGTCGGAGGTATCATTGTAGAATAAAAAATCTATATGGCAATGAGCAAATAATAATATCACTTTTATTGTCAAGCAAAATCATTTTTGTAACACTTATCACAACATAACAAAACAACTAGTAACCCTTTGTAGGAACTTCTCTAGATCATTATTACGTTTTTTCCTATTTACAAATTCGAAATAGCTCTCTCTACTTAATTATTTTGCATTGAAGAGTAAACGTATGGCGAATTTATTTTCTATATCATTCAAATCCGGCATTAAAAAAAAATTAACGTGTTGAAAAATAAATCTGATAAATTTAGAATAAAAACAATGAATAGTTACCTTCCACCATTTTTCTATATAAGGTTTCGTAAGAGCTGTAAGAAGTAAACCACTTGTTATAATAATATATAAATATACGATAACTTCGTCCTTATAAGAATCTCGCTCTATAAATAAAATTTATCCTTAATATGACGTCTCTGCTCCTAAATTTAAGCCACTCTAAAAAAAACAAAACTAACTTACGAAAACACGTAGCAATTACTTGGATTTCGCAGCCTTCTTTTGAAGTACCTTCCTCATTTCTACCACCAGCACAGAGATCTTTCATTTGATTTATACAATTAGCTCTATTACAATCGGAACATGTTTGATCAATATTTAAAGAAACTATTGTTGAATTTTCCGCGCACACACATTTACAAAAAGACTTAACGTCTGCTGTTTGCACAATAGGTGTTATGATAAAAATAATTAAAAGTAATATTAAAAATAAGGATTCGTCAAATCTTAACTTTAATGTCATTTTCTTATTTATTTTATTTTTTAAAAAAGAAAAAAAAAAGAGTGAACTGTATAATCAACAAAGATCGACAATTAAAGTTTTGCGGAAAAGCATAAATCTATATTTATTTTTCATGTTAAACATGTAGAATTATATCTAATAATAATAAAAAAAAGTGATATTATTTTTTTTTATATGAAAGGACATAACAATAAGATAACCATTCTTTAACATATATTTGATAAATATATATAAAAAAAACTCGTAATAAAAAAAATAATAATGTGAAAATAAATATTTTAATAATAAAAAAAAAAGTAAAAAAAAAAAGAGTAATTGCTAATGATAATTACAAAAAAAAAATTTATACATTTATTACTAATACACGTATACTTGTTTATATAATCATAATTAATTAATTCCTTTGATGAGAAGCATTTGTCATGGTAGTATTAGAATAATACATGGCAACTTGGCCATTGGGATCTGTAGCGTAATAACTGGCATGCTCAGCCGTAGCATAATAATTGCTTCCATCGGCAGTATTAGGATACATAGAATGATGTAGAGGTGAATAAGCTACATTGGGAGGAGGATGTGACGGTGGTATTCCAACCGAAGTAGGAGGAATTCCGTAGGGTTGTAGCCGACTTTGTATTTCAACTATTTCTTTTTCATAAAATTCCCTGTACAATACATTAAATGCTATAGTACTAACATGATCCTTAGCATCATTTTTTTGCCAAAGAGCCAATTCAGGATTAAAAGTACGACCCATTATGGTACAGTCAAATAGATAATATCCCCTTCCGTCATCTCTGATGTTATAGATTGGATGTCCTAATCTGTGCATTTGACAGAATTCCAATAGCAAAACACAAGGTCTCTTCGATTCTCCTTTATTTGCTCGCATCAATTGCTTTTGATACCATTGAGCCGATTTAGGAACGAGCTCCAGTGGATGGGGAGTAACAACTTGTTGTGATGAGTAGGATGATAATTGTCTAGGATGATAACTTTGATTATTATTATTATTACTATTATTACTATTAATGTTATTCTTATTCTTATTCTTATTCTTATTGTTTCTTGCTTTCTGTAATGCTGAAAGATAAGCTCTAACCAATTCTTGACGAATAGCAGCTGTGAAATCTGGCATAATCAATGAAAGACCTTGCATTGCAATACCTGCGGCATCTTCTTTCGCTTGTTGTTTCTTTGGACGTGCGATTGTATTCTTGTAAGCTTGATTATTAAAATTCACTTGACAAAAAAAATGTCCCGTAGCGGGATCATGAGAAAACTCGTAAGTTGGTGGTTCAAGATTCAGTTTTTGATGCATAGTATTTAGAAATGAAATCGGATTAATGATTGGTGTGTCATAATCTGATGAGCTAGTGGTTGATGAATTTGAGGACTCGTAATTATAATCTAAGGTAGATGACGACGAAACTGTTGATGAATCCGTGCTTGATATTGGTGCTGAAGGTTGCGAGAATTCCAAGAGCTCGGTTGGATTATCTGAAAAAGTTTCTTCTGAATTATTATTATTCATGTTTTGTTGTTGACCAAGTTCACTTGTACCTTCCTTTGTCTCTGTGTATGTAGTAGGTTGTGCTCCCAAAGCATTCTCTACTTGAAAAGACATTCTTTGCTTATGATATTCTAAAATAAAGTAGGACTTAAAAAAAAAATAATAATAACTCTCACTTTTTAAAAGGAATCAAATTATACCGATCTATTTATTAAGTTTAGAAAAAAAAAATAACTAAAGGTTACGACTAATAATTGTTTTGCATCGTCTTTGTCATCGTTTTATGCTTACCAGCCCCCCTTATTAAAGTTTCAAATTATGATTGGTCATGATCGGATTTATTGAGTAACACCGAAATCTTCTATGTCACTTCCTACCTTATATATCACGCATAACGTTAAAGGTTGTATAGTTTATCATTTTGTAAATTTTTAATATCGATATAGTTTTATCAAGTTTTACTTTTTATTATTCTAGGTTTTATCTAGTAATCTAATAGTTATTATATATTAATTCTAAATAATATAAGAAAATTACTACGTATCACCGGTGGTAATCGTCACCGGTGTCCCGTGATCTATATTGTCACTTCCCTGTCTTTCAATTTTACTATTTATTTCAGGAACTTCAACTTATCCATTCACAAATTAATTGTCACTTAGGTAATTGTCATACCGTCTATAATTCCGGCCTGAATTATAAATTCGGCCCGAATTATGAACACCGGTAATCATCATAACCAATAATAAATAACAAATTCCTTTATTAAATTATTAAATTATAATTAAGTAAAATTTATCATAAAAATACTTATGTAAACTTATACAGGGGGTGACAAAAGTATTGCACAGTCAAGAATTAGACAATTTTGTAAATTTTTAATAAGTAACTGAGTTATATATTTTTAATAACATATTAGCTAACTATTACCTAATGAAACATTTTGTTTATTGTTTGGTTTAGAGTAATACATAGTGTAAAATCTTATTTTGAAAAAATCTCTACTTTTCAATACTTCACACTTTATATGTTCTCACTAAAGGATCAGCTTTTAGCTTTTTTTATGTTTTTACTAATTAATAAGCTGCAAGTATTTACATAAGACTAGTCAATGGTATCATATAAAATTTATGATTTCTGAGTTGCTGGACCTAATTTTTTTTTTGCTTTAATAATAGCATTTTAGCATTTTAACAAAAATATAATGCACAATGTTAAAAAATAGAGATTTTTTAAAATTCAATTTTAAGAATTGTAACATATTAAATTAAACAATTCATAAAAATATTTCATTAATGTAATAGATATCCAAAATAATTCTAGTAAAATATAGCTCAGTTATTAATGAAAAATTTACTCAATATCTCATTTTCAATTGTGCAATATTTTTGTTACCTCCCGATATATTATAATATTAAAAACTTAAAAGATTTTTATATTAATTGAAATCATAAAATCAAACATTTTACTTAAAAGAATTATATTATCAGATGATAGTTTAAGAAATTTGCCAAAAAATATTAATATTAAAAATATTTGATTCCTTAATATTTTTGAATTTATTTAAAATAAATAGATTTCATCAGAATAAATTATCTAAAGCTAAAATAAACTAATAAAAAGCTAATAAATTTATGTTTAATAATAAAGTTTAGTTAATATTATTTAATCTTTAAATTAAAACTTAAAAATATGTTTAAATAATACTTATATTAGTAAAATAAAATCTAATTTATTGCTATTTTCAAAAATGTTAGCAATCAAAAAATGTTAATCATTTACCAAATTAAACATAAAACATATTGAATACAAATTGAATACAAATTGAACATGTAAAATAAATAAATTTTTATTTTTTTGCAAAAATATTTTTCTGTTTATTTATGAATATTATAAATACCAAACTTATTTTTATTATAATAAGATATAAATTATTGAAAAAATACTCATTTTTATTTTGAATTTACCAAAACAATATAGTAAAGATTTTAAATAAAGAGTTATATATTTATAGAATTATGGCTATCCTTTAAAATAAATTTCTAAATTACTTTATATAAGCAGAAGAACTATAGTCAGACTTCTATATAGTTACACTGTATATAGTCATACCTTTATACAAGAACCTATTTTTGTAGAACAGATTTAAAGCTTATTAAATTACCTCTTTATCATCACAAATCATTTATAGTCACTATCATCTCATGATCTATAATATACATATCATTTTTATAAATAATTAAACCTCTTTATAATTATAAATTTCCAATTGGCTTATATTAAAGAGATTTAATTAGCTGCAGATTAAAAAAGTTTAATAAAAGATTTGTGATTGATTATCTCAATTTTAAAATGTAACATGAGAAAATGTTACATTTTTTTGTTAAATATAATATGCTTAAAAATGTAACATTATAACGCTAGAAAAAATTTTCTTTCTATAGTGATAGTTTTTGTTAATAAAAAAGTGATATCTAAGTGTTAATATACTTTTATTAGAAATATCAAATGGTTACAATATTATTGATTTCTTTAAAAATTCTCTTTTCAAAATTATTTCTGAATGATCTCTTACTATCTATCCATGGCAAATCTTTTTTAATAAATTTACATCCTTACTATTTTAATTCAAATAGTGATTTATATTATCAATGTTAATTGTCTTCCTTAACTAATTTTTGAATATTATAATGCCTTCTGACCAATTATCCAAATACCATTCAGCCATAAGTATTAGCATTAAGCATCAAATTTGTGAATGTTCAAAAAATAATAAAAATAAAAAACATGAAGAAATTGCCAACTATTTAATGAAAAATACCCAACTTTAAACATCCATTATAGTACTGTAATAAAGATACTAGGACAAAATGAAAGGTGGAATTCTGCATTAGAAATTGAAGATTCTAAAGAAATTTACAAATATAAAAAAGTCAAGTTTTCAGAATTTGATAGGACTATAAGCTTATGGATAGAAAGTGTAATAGCAGGTGGTGTTATCTTAACAGATTCATTAATAAAAAAAAGGTGAGATTTTTCGTCAATATATTCAACATACAAAAAAATGAGTTGGTACTCTCTAATAGTTGGTTAGATAGCTTTAAAAAATGTAATAATATCTATTAGTATCGAATATATAGAGAATTAGGAAGTGTATCAATAGCATCTTTTTCAGAAGAAAGAATTAAGCTTCGTCAATTTCTAAGCTGATATACTCTTGATAATTTATAATATTGATAAAACAGGTCTTTATTATCAAATGTCTTCAAATCAAACACTTTCAACTAAGCCAGTTCATAATGAGAAAAAAGATAAGATACGAATTATGGTTCTTCTTGATACAAATGCAATAGGAACTAATAAACTCAAACTATAGATAATTGATAACGCAAAGTATTCAAGACCTCTTTCAAAAATTAATATAAAAAGACTTTCAATTTATTATTATAGAAATTCAAAAATATGGATGAACTCAACAATTTTTGGAAAAGTACTCTATAAATTAGATAATTATTTTAGAGTAAAAAGTAAAAAAATTTTGCTTTTGATTGATAATGCTCTGTCACATTTTAATTCAAATTATTTACCAAATGAGTAAAATAAAAATAATGTCAATGAAGAGATTAAATTTACATCAACCTCTAGTAAGTTTTTATAAAGGAAAATGAGTCATTGGTTAAGTCTATTATTTATTAATTAGTCTTTAAATATAAAGTTTATTATCAGAATAACAAAAAGTTAATTTTACTTTTACAAAGCTATTTAGTTTATTAGTTTATTTAATTTATATTATATATATATATATTATTTATAATATTATTTATTAATATATATTACATATTAAAAAAAAAAATAAATAATAATAATAATAATAATAATAATAATAATAGAAAATTAAATAAAAAAAATAGAAAATAAAAATTTATTTAATATGATAAATATAATATAATTGTCAAATATTTAATAAAATATCTTATCAGAATTTTTTTTTTTAATATAGGAGATTAAGCTTTAAAAAGTCATGATAATGAACCAAGTAATCATAGATCTAGAGGTTATGGTAGAGACTGTGATGATGGATTAAGTAATCATGAATCTAAAAGTCATGGTAAAGGTCGTAGTAGAGGTTATAATAGTAAATCAAAGGATAGACTTAATATTCCTCAGCTTCAATTAACTCATATTGAAGTGGCCTTTTTATCTTATAATACTATAAGCCATCTTCAGCTACTTGATACTGGGATCATTGCAAGCTTTAAAAACTATTATAAGAGGAATTTTTGTCATCACATGTTAAACTTATTTGAAGATGGAAAAGATATTAATAAAGAGAAAATCAATATTAAAGAAGCAATTGATATTTTAGTAGATGCATAAAAGCAAATAACTGAAGAAACTATTTACAACTGTTGGAAAAAGACCGGAATTCTGCCTTCTTTGACTAATAAAAATATAAATAATGTAATACAAATCCAACAAAGTTCAATAGATCATGAAAAAGCAAAAATTAATCAAATAATAGAAGAAATTGAAAAACTCAATGATGATTCTTATAATGTTTTATTAAAAAATGCATTGACTAATTATTTTCATGAATTAGAAGCTATTCCAATTGAAGATATTCTAAATAATGATGATATTATACAATTAGTTCAAGAGAAAATATATGAAGAAGATAATACTAATGATGATTCTGAAGAAAAACCAATATTAATATCTTTAAATAAAGCTCTCAAATCTTTACAAACTTGGATTACATTTTTTGATTAATAGTAAATAGATGAATTTAGCATTGAAGATGGTTATATTTTTAAAAAATACTTAAATATAGCAAGGTAGCTTGAAGTTCAATCTCAAAAGCAAGCTCCAATCACTGAATTTTTTAACAGCCATGAAAATTAAATAGGAAATTATGTAATCTGATAATATTTTTTTTCATATGACTTAATAAAAATAATATATTGGTTAAATAATAAATAAAATATTATGATAAGTTTTACTTATAAAGCTTAATAATACTAATTTAACCTCTAAATAGTCATTATATATTTGATTATAATATAGTTGTGATTATATAAAAGTAACCTTTTTACAGTCACACTTTTATATAATCA